AAAGCCAGGGGTTACGGGTTAAGAGAAAATCCCTGGGAAATAGGCCAATGGAGTTGTGAAATATAAAACTCTTCATATAAAGTCATTTTAACTAGGAAGATCAGATTTTAAAAAGGATCAGAGAACTTCCAAAACTAACTTGAAAATGACATAAACCTCCCACTCTCAGGTTCTTTACCCATATCCTTGTCAATACTTATTTCTTTTCCTTTTTATAATAGTCATTCTAACAAGTACTATGAGGTGATAGTTCATTGTGGTTTTCATTTACATTCTCCTGATGATTAGTGATGTTGAGTATTGAGTACCTTCTCTTGAACCTGTTGGCCTTCAGTATATCTTTGAAAAAATGTCTATTCAGATCATCTAACCATTTTAAAATCTCATTGTGTTTTCATGCTATTGAGTTTTATGAGTTCTTAACCTATCTTAAGATATTAACCCCTTAGCAGATATATGGTTTGCAAGAATTTTTTTTTTCCATTCTGTACGTTGCCTTTTCATTTAGTGGGGAAAAATTTTTTTCCTTGCAGAAATCTTAAGTTTGATGTAGTTCTACTGTTTATTTCTGCTTTTGTTGCCTTTTGGGGGTCATTCTAAAAAATCATCACCAAGACTGATGTTAAGGAGCTTATGACCTATGTTTTGTTCTAGTTTTATGGTTTCAGGTCTTATGTCTAAAATTTCAATTCAGCTAAGTAAATTTTAAATCCTTTGAATTAATTTTTGTGTATGATGTAAAATAGTGGTCCAGTTTTTCCAACATTTATTGAAAAGAAATTCCTTTCCCTATTTTATATTGTTGACGCCTTTGTCATAAGTTAATTGACCATATATATGTCAGTTTATTTCTGGGTTATTTATTCTGTTCCATTGATCTATGTGCCTGATTTTATGTCACTATCAGACCCTTGTGATTATTATAGCCTTGCAGTATAATTTGAAATTAGGGAGTTTGATACCATCAACTTCATTCTATCTCATTTTTATAGTTGACCCTAAATAACATAATGTGGGGGGTAGGGGTATTGATCCCCGCTTCTCACTCTGTGCAAACATCCACATATACATTTTCATCCCCCAAAAAACTTTACTAAAACCCTACCGATGACCAGAAGTCTTACTGGTAACATAAACAGTCAACCCATATTTTGTAGGTTATATGTATTTTACTATATTTTTACAAGAAAATAGAGAAAATATTACTAAGGAGATAAGGAGAGAAAATACACTCAAATATTTATTGAAAAAAATCCATGTATTAATAGACATGTAACTCAAACCCACATTGTTTAAAGGTTAACTGTAATCTGAAAAAATAGTATGGTTCAGATAAACTGAGGAGGTGGGAACGGGGATAGTTAAACTTATCCATTTTCTAGGACGAAGGTAGCACTCTTTGGAGTTCTCTGATAGATGTGAAGTCACAAGACATAGGTTTGAAACCAGATTGATCCTTCTCCAGTTAATTATCCCCTCTGAGCCTTTTTTTATCTATCTCACAGTTACTGTTGATTTTCATTGAGAATATATCCATTTTAGCCAGGACTTTTCAGCAAGAGATTGGACCTAAACAATGACATCAAGCATAAAAGGAGTTTTTTAGACCTGTACTGAAATTAAGGCAATCCTAGAAGCCAGAATAGCCTTAGGAACCTTAGGAATGGGAACATGGGCTAATGGCTCTGTGTGAGTCATCTGCCCAGTGACAAAGGTGTAGAACTGGTCAGGCCTGAACTGATGGCCAGGAAGATGAGCACTGTGACTGGCAACCTTACCAGAACCATGCAGTTCCCCAAAGGGTAGACTGAAAGACTAATCAGTTGAGTCTAAAAAAGCTATCACAAGCAAAAGTGCTAATAAATACAGACAGTAACATTAATAGCCATGGATGGACACTTCCCCGTGTTCTGGCATTGTGTTAAGCATATCTCAAGGTAGTATTATGTAGTATGTTTGGAAAAAAGCCCAGGCTATGCACAAAGCACTAGTAGGATATAGTGCGGGAGAGGGGTGGAGATGTAGGCTCAGATGATGAAGAGTTTTGAATGTAAGGCTTAGTTAGATTTGATTTTGACAAGTTAGAGCCAATGCACATTAATGCACAGAAGACACACAGCCACAGTTCCGTATTAGGATAACTTGGATTAGAGAAAGGAGAAACGGGAGATGAGGAATTTCATTAAGAAGCCATTTCAAGTGAAAGTTAAGCAAGGATCTGAACTTAGTAGGTGGTTGAGTGGATGGAAAGAAAAAAACAAAAATATAAAAACCCCACTTGTGAGGCAGTGGAAAAGAACTGTAAGAAGTGATGGCTGAATAGAGATGGATTTGAGAGCTAATAAGAGTCCCCAAGGCTAAAAAGTCCCCAGTGGGGGTTAAATGAATGATGGTACCGAGTAGCTATAATACAATGGCAAAGTAAGGCTGAGAACTGGTTTAAAAGGAGAATTTGATTTTGTGCATACTGAGTCGGAGTAAGCAATAAATTCTCAGAAGGAGGTATCAGGCAGTCAATTCCAAATGTGATACCATGTCTCATGAGAAAACTTGGGGCAGGGAGAAATCAATCTTCTGGCATAGAGGAGATGATAAAAAGCTGGCAAAGATAAAGAAGAAATGAACATACTATCAACTGATACTTAAATCCTAATGCAAAAACGTGTTTAGTCAATAGATTTATAAAATTTTAAAAATTTAAATTTATTAGGATTTATTAATAACAGTTACACAGAATAAAGTTCAGAAATTCATCAACTATGATCACCAATATGTGCTTCTTTGTGGCTTTTTAAACTATTTGTCATGATTCAAATTTATTCATTATAGTTGAGATTCATACATAGCTTCACAATATGGATATTACAGGTCTCCCATCAGTAAAATTAATGAAAACATATCTTTCATGAAAGGCACATGAAGAATCTAAACTAACATAACACATTTAAGGAATTTTGATAATTTTGAATTTCTTTACATTACAAAGAAGAAAAACAAATCCCCAAGATGAAACAGATATAAATGCAGTTTGTGGTTACCCACCCCTACACACACATATTTCAACAAATATACTTCAACAAAATGACAGAAACAACTTACCCACAAGCTTACTGAAAGGCTAGCTCTTTCAAGATGAGTGAAAAAGACAAGTAGGGTGGGGAATGCTGTTCATTTTGATGAAGCAAGGTCACAAGATACATCATGAGTAATCAAAAGAAAAGTTACTATTGACATTCAACATCTAGGTGATATGTAACACTTATTTGAACAGACAGTCACTGACTTTATTAAATACTATTACTCATTTTCTAAGTGTAATTGCCTGTTTCATTCTCAGAAATAATAGTACAATTTAAAAAATAATATAGACTTAAGCAAGTGGAGGAAATTTGAATAAGGGGAAAAAAGTAATTTTAGTCAAGTGTGATAATTAAATTTGAAACTAATTACATATATGAATTAAAAGCTTGCATTATACCAGCAGCAGAATATTTAAAGATCTTTCTTGTTATCTTCCAAACAAGGAGCTATCAATATATGCTAGGTACAAGGGATTTCCCAAAGGAAATACACAAATGAATGTCACAAATTCATTATGCTGATATATTTTTTACCCAAAAAATGCTCTCATCATCCACCTAAACTTAGTTATAAATAAAAAGGTAATTATTTAAAGTGTATAAAAATTAATTTGGCATCATCTTTAAGGCAATGCCTCAATACCATCCAAATATTAAAATTCAAAGTGGAAACAAACCAACTGAATAAAAATTAAGTATTTATAAGTTTAAAAATAGTAAAATATGCAATTTTAGTTCTTTAAACCAAATCTGTAGATCAGCATGCAATCTTAAAATAAAAAATAAAATAAAATGTGTACGATGTTTAAATAATTAATCCAAAGGAAGTTACATTCATCCTCTTTAAGAACATTTCAATAAAGCATTAAATTTAAAGAACAAATCATGTTATTAAAATAGTCTGTGCAATGTTTATACAAATGACATTTTTAGGGTCACAAAATAATCAAGGTAAGGGCTGCAATGTTTCCTAATATTAATTGCTATACTTAAAAATTTACAGGGCATGAATATAAATAAAACTGTTCAAAACTGGTTAATGTGGCAATAGTCTGGCACTGAGTACAAAGTACTTAATATTTCTGTTACTTCCAAAGCAATCACACTAGAATTGTAAATGACGACTCTTCAAACCTAAAAGTAATGTGGAAAACTAAAGTTATAAATACAAGTATACATACATTTGCATATTTACACTTACACAGAAATCATTAATACACTAGAGCCCAGCTTTAACACTGCCCTTAGGTTCACAATGCAGAACCACCTTTCACATTTTTACTTAGGTTAAAAAACAAAACACAACAGCTTTGGTCAGGTCCAGATGTGTTTGCCATACACTACATTCTGTGTTGCTGCAAGACCCTAGTCTAGAGAGATCCACACATAAGTACTCATTTGGTTTGAGAATGCATTTTAACCATTCACAGCAAAACTTAGAAGAGACCACAATCTTTTAGATTATTTTTTATGATGACATCTGTTACCGCATCAAAAACAAACTGCACATTCTTAGTATCTGTGGCACATGTGAAGTGGGTGTATATTTCCTTTGTGTCCTTTCTCTTATTGAGGTCTTCAAACTGACATTGAATGTATGCAGCTGCCTCTTCATATGTGTTCGAGCCTGAGATGGGAAAGGAAAAAAATATAAGGAGAAAAGTTAAAATGTGTATACAACTAAGAAAAATGGGCCTTAAGTATTGAAATCAGCTATTTAAAACAGTTGGACTCCATAACTGTATTTTTTCCTTATAGAATAAGGGAAACTGTTTCTTCTAAATGAAAAAAACACCCCATGTTAACTACCTTTTAATGACTATATTACCCTTTAAGAAAAATCCTGAAACAAAAAGCATTCCACGTGATTTTTGTTCCTGCTTCAATCTCCAAATACCAGATCCCTACTTTTTATTATTCCTTATACTCTATTAATCCCAACTTAGTTCCATGATGATGGCAAGTATGTCAATTACAGCCTAGTGGCTGATCAAGAAATGCTGGCTGGATGCTGATGAATGTTTTCATTGCCTTTCCTTATTAAAAAAAAACTGTACAAGGGTCTACAATGTGTTATGGCTATCAGGTTAAAAAAGGAATGACACACTCCACCTTTCAGGTAACTGACTGACTAAAGACTTGTGACTACAAACACACCAGAAATGGTTTGGCAGTATCTAAAGATAATCACATGCATAGTTTGTGACCCAATAATTCAGTTTCTAAATGTGCCCTTGACATAATTATATTCATATGTTTACTAGAAAACATAGACTGTTTAAGAAACAACCTACTAGTCATGGTATATTCATAAAACAAGTTGCCATACAATAATGAGAATGAAAGTACTACTGCTACCCACAATAACATGGGTGCATTTCATAAACATACTACCGATCAAGTAAGCCAGATATAAAAAGACTAGATACTGTATGATTCAACTGATGTTTAGAAAACAGGCGGGAGGGGGGTAGGGGGAGGCATGATGGGTCTTTTGGGAACCCGGAAATATTCTACCCCTTGACCTGAGTGATAAAACATCAGTATTTCCACTTTTAAAAATTCAATGAACTTCACATTAAATGTTGAGTATTTGTGTATGTATATACTTTTACATGTACATAAGTTAATACTTCAATCAAATGCTCATTTGAAAATAATTATTTAAATCTCCGTCTTACAGTAATAACACAACACTATTTGCCTGGTTTTCAAGGTCCTTTATGCCCAACCTGCTCTCTCCCACATTTGAGATTCATTTCATGGCATGAGAATAATACACAAACACCATCTGTGTTACTGCAGCTTTCACTGAGTGCCTAGCTCAATTTCCTGTATATATTCTGGGTAGCTAGTTATATTACTCAATCTGATTTTAGATGTTACTAGTAAGAAAAGAATGGCTAGTGATTTTGAACATGTTTTCATATGTCTCTGGGCTTCCTGTATGTCCTCTTTCGAAAAGTATCTCTTTAGATCCTTTGACCATTTTTTGATTGGATCATTTATCTTCCTTTTATAATAAGTTGTATGAGTTCTCTGTAAATTTTGGAGATTAAACCCTTATCGGAAATATTATTGGCAAATATGTTCTCCCATGCTGTGGGCTTTCTTGTTATTTTGTTGATGGTTTCTTTTGCTGTGCAGCTTTTTATTTTTATATAGTCCCATTTGTTTATTTTCTCCTTAGTCTCCGTAGCCCTAGGAGCTGTGTCTAAAAAGATATTGCTACAACATATGTCTGCTATTTTGCTACCTATGGAGTCTTGTAGGGTTTTTATGGTTTCCCATCTTACATGTAAGTTTTTTAGCCATTTTGAGTATAGTGTAAATTGGTGATCTAGTTTTTTGTTGTGGTTTTTTTGGGTTTTTTTTGCACATAGCACCTTTATTAAAGAGACTGTTTTGACTCTATTGTATGCTCTTGATTCTATTGTATGCTCTTGCTTCCTTTGTCAAATATTAAGCATAATGACTTGGGTCAATTTCCGTGTTCTCTGTTCTGTTCCATTGGTCTATATGTCTGTTCTTGTGCCAGTAGCAGGCAGTTTTGAGAACTGTGGCTTGGTGATATAGCTTAATATCTGGTAATGTGATCCCTCCAACTTTGTTCTTCTTTCTCAGGGCTGCTGCTGCTATTCAAGGTCTTTTTTTATTCCAGATAATTTTTTGGAGAGTTTGTTTTAGATCTTTGAAATATGCCATTGGTATTTTAATGGGGACTGCACTGAATCTGTAGATTGCTTTGGGTAGTATGGACATTTTAAAGATGTTGATTCTACCAATCATGAACATGGTATGTTCTTCCATTTGTTTATGTCTTCCTCTATCTCTTTTTTTCAAAGTATGGAGTTTCCTCAAAAAAGTTAAAAATGGAACTCCCATTTGACCCAGTAATCCCACTTCTAGGACTATATCTCAAGAAACCAGATATGCAATCAGAAAGGATATATGCACCCCTATGTTCATAGCAGCACAATTTACAATAGCTAAGATTTGGAAACAGCCTAAGTGCTTATCAGCAGATGAGTGGATTAAAAACTCGTGGTATAGCTACACAATGGAATACTATGCTATGCCGCTATAAAAAAGAAGGAACTTTCACCATTTGCAACAACATAGATGGAACTGGAGAGCATTATGCTAAGCAAAATAAGCCAGTTGGAGAAAGATAAATATCACATGATCTCACTCATATGTGGGATATAATGATCAACATAATTTGATGAACAAGAATAGATCAATCTAGAGACAAATGGTAGGGGAGGGAAGCTAGAGAGCAACCAAAGGACTTGTATGCATGCACAATCGTATAACCAATGGACACAGACACTGGGGTGGTGGGGGCTAGCCTGGGGTGAGAATAGCTAGGAGGGTCAATTGGGGAAAAGGGAGACATATATAAAACTTCAGACAATTAAAAAAATTAATTAAACAAAACAACAACAACAAAAAATGGCAAGTATGGGGATAGGAGAGAATGTGTTAGATATTTTCGAACATGTGCTAGAAGTGTCCTAAAAAGCTAAGTATGGATGATAACCTGGTTCAAGAATAGAGAATTGCGCCCTAGTTGGTTTGGCTCAGTAGATAGAGCATTGGCCTGCAAATTAAAGGGTTCAATTCTTGTCAAATGCATGTACCTCAGTTGCAGGCTCCTCCCCAGCCTGGGCCCTGGTTGGAGTAAATGCAGAAGGTCACCAATTGATGCTCCTCTCAAACTGTTATTTCTGTCTTTCCTTCCCTCTTAAAATCAATGGGGGGGAAAAATATCCTCAGGTGAGGATTAAAAAAAAAGTGAAGAATTGGAAGGTTTATGATATAATTCAAAGGGAGATAGAAATTTGAGAAAAACAAAATACACTGAGTTTACTTTAAGTTTCAGGTGCTGAAAAACAAGAATGTGCTCAACAAGTAGTTGGAAATGCAAGCCCAAGACTCTCTAGAGAGAAATTACATTTGACAACAGAATTTCACCTGAGAATAAATATGACCATGAAAGGATGGAGCGCTAAAAGATTATAGGATGGCAGCTAGAACGTGGTGAACTGCCAACATGTAGGTAAAAAACAGAGGGGAAGATAGAAGCAGATGGAGATAGATGTGAACTGAGTAATTAAAGGCTCCATAGATTTCTTCTATAAAAAGCAATAGCCATAGTAATTAAGAGTTGAAGGCTGAAGCAACTGAGTCAATAATTAAGGCATGCAGTGAAGATTCAATTATTATATTAACACTAGGAATGATTAAAAAAAATTTTTGAGATTAAGGATTCTTATTAACTTGACAACCTAAGGGAAATTCTTGTACATACTGTATACCTGGCAAAAAAAAAAAAAAAAAAAAAAAAAAAAGCTAACAAGCATATTCCTTGTTGCTCTGAAATCCCTGTAGGTATGCGATTTCTATCAATGCATTTGGGTACTCTGGTAATATGGCTACTTCACAGTAGAAAATGACAAAAATAATCTAAAATAATCTAAAAGACAGATTAAAGGAAGGGCAAAACTAAGCCACCTGATTCTAGATAACTTCTTTCTTGGAATTAGTACTATAAATAATTTTATTCATACTAAACACAAAGTGTTTCATTATAAGTTGACTTAGGATACTATAAATTTCAAAAAGAAAAGTTTTAAAATAAGAAAATGTGTGAAATTATTTTGAATTGAAGTATAACTGCAGTATACAAAAAAGGGCTATAGTAATTAGTGTGCTTATATGTTCTGAAACACCCCCTGGTCCTGACCCCTGGTTCCAATGAGAATTTAATTAATGTTAGTCTGGTGGTTAATGATGCTGTAGACTTAGGTCTAGATTTGGGTTCTGTTACTTCATTTAAGTCCTGGGAAGTAAGAGCACTGATACCACAGGGTTGTTTTAACATCACCTGTGAAAAGGCAGTGAATACTTATCATACAATTTCCTCAATACAAGACCAACTAAATTTTTGTTTATAACCAAACAAATTCTTGAGACTTAATTCTCTTCATTAAAATATTATTCAGATGAAAGCTAAGATAATCTGCTTTTTATTTCCCTTCCTTGCACCCACTTTCACCAGCAGGAGTCCAGGTGTTCCCAAAATCAAACTAAACCATAACCAATGCTTTAGCCCACTTCTGATTGAAAGACGGAACTGAGAGCCAGCTACATGAACTGCTTTGTTCAGGATCAAAGAGCTAATTATAGAAAAGCCAGGACTGTCTCTTAGTTGCCTTTTCTTACTGCAGATCCTTTTCTTTCTGCAGCTTTTCTTTAGTTGTAAAAGGAAAATGCCATGAATCACCTCATTACCAAAGTTTTGGATTGCATATGAAACCTTCCTTGACTCCTGCGTTGTTAACTCACAAATTCCTTCTTCATTTTTACCCCTTACATTTATTGTCCGTGGCAGCATGATGCACTGCTATTGTTTGTCTATAGTACATCTGTCTCTGAGACGAGAAAAGAAGCAAGACATGTCAACTAGATGAAGACTTCAGTTCTTCATAAATTTACAGTAAGGATTTCATTACAAAAAAAAAAAATAATTACACAGCTTTTCCATAAAATGAATGTTAGTTTCAATAATATAATCCACATCCCAGATAAACTACTTGTGCTTGAATGCAGTACGATAAGTAATTTCTTTTAAAGAAAAGAATTACTAAACCAAGGGATTAAATCAACCACTGAAGTCTTGTCTTAGGGGAACTTTCACTTGGATCTGTATGACTTGACAAGTTATCCACAGAAAGCAAAATACCTGCATATTCCGGGTAGCATATAGTGAGAGGACTCTTTTTGATTTTTTCTTCGAAGAGATCCTTCTTGTTTAGAAAAAGTATAATGGATGTTTCTGTAAACCATTTGTTGTTACATATGGAATCGAACAACTTCATGCTTTCATGCATTCGATTCTGTAGTAAAAAGGATACAATCAGTTTGTCATAATGGAAGAATTTTGAGAAATACTACTTTTAAAAGAATAACAGCGTAACAGGATAGACCTTAGCTGTAAAATAGATGAATGCCAGAAAAATATTTTTGGAGTATGTTAAGAACAAGCACCCTTTGATTTGGGGCGAGATGAGTATCTACATCCGTCGTTAATTACTTTTGCATTCAACAATACTCCATTGGTACCCAACACGTGTCCTTGTGCCTGGGAAAGCCTGCTCGGGGGGAGAAGGGGAGGGCTTGCTATCTAGGGATGCCAAGTGCAAACATTTGCAAAGATCTCATGATTACAGACTTCACTGAACTTTCCATTAAGAAATAAGTAACGTCTTTTAAAGATTAATAAATTAAACTGAATAAGCTAAACCACAATTAGCCTAACAACCTGACAATAAAGGTATGGGAGGGAAGGAAACCTTGTTCCCGGGTCCTGCCTCCCGGTATTTGCAGTTTCTAAAAGGGCACTGGTGTATTTCATAGTGTCGCCGGAAAGGGGGGAACTGCATGTATGAGGTGCTCTGCACCTACCGCACTTATCTTAAACAATAGAAAACTGGCGTTTCTATTTTCTTTTTTCCAGTTTGTACTAAACTCTTCCATTTAAATAAGTTTCTACGTGAGTTTATACTTAAAAAAACATTTTCCCCAGATTAACAGTATACTGAAGTGCATCTGAAAATTACACGGAGGTGCAAAATAGAACATGGATCAAAGATTACTGAGCTAGAACTGGCAGAAGTAATACGTTAAGGAAATCAAGCCTTGACTATGACGAAACAAAGCTTTTTTCATTCGGTGTGTAAATTCTGCCAGGCAGAGGAAATGCAGTTAAGCACAGAGCGTTAAGGGAAGATAAACTGTGGTCTTTTCCTTTTTCCCATGGTCCATCTGTGTTTCTTTATTATAGTTCCCATTAACTAGAGAAAAGAGCCCAAACTTCCACCTAATTCAGACATTCACAAGAAAGTTTCTTAGGGAGATTCCCGCCATCACCTCCAGCCCTCCCTGCTCCATGCTCAGTCTTTCCCAGGGGTTGTACTCACCATCTCTTCGTCTTCGGCGAGAACCAGGTCATAGTCACTCAGAGCCACACAGAAAATGATGGCGGTCACTCCTTCGAAGCAGTGAATCCATTTCTTCCGCTCAGACCTCTGTCCTCCCACGTCAAACATTCTGGAAGAGGGAAACGAGTCAGACATCTCATTAAGTGTCCCAAAGCTCCGAGTTCTACAGCATCAACAAGAATTGCAAGGAGAACGTGGGATGGGAAGAAAGGAGGGAAGGACTTTTTGGGAGGAAAAGTATGTCAGAAATGAAAAGAAAAAAGTCTGATTTTTAAAAATTGTTGAGTAAAGAGAAATAAAGCAACTCAAAATACCTTAAAAAATAATATATTAACATATAACATTAACATTAGCACAGAACATTAAAACAAATGCATGTGAATGGGCTGCACTATGTGTAAACACTAAATTCACATGAAGCCAGAAGAAATGCAGAGAGAACAGAGTATATTCAATTGGCCCATGTCAGGAAAGATGAGAGGAGAGGACACGGTCCCCGCCTCCCACCACAAAGCACTGCGTTCTCTCAGAGGCAAGAAGCAGAGCTTTGGCGTGAAGGAGAAACTGTTCTGGGTAAAAAAAAGCTGAGCAAGCAAGTCAGATTCAAAGTGGGGCCAACAGGTTGCCTTAATTGAAAAGTAAAATCAGGGGTAAAAGAAAAGGTGAGATGCAATCTGCAATAAATGGGTGGCCCTAATGAGTAGTGCTGAAACTTGGAGTGAAAAAAAAAAAATACTGTTTTTACAAAATATATGACAGCAGACCATTGTAGGTTAGTGTACAGGGTAGCAACATAATTAAGTAGTATAAAGACAGTGATTCTTTCCTCTTTTCCTTGTAAGAATTTATTAAGGTAAGCAAAAGTTGAAATGCACCTAGGGTATGTTATGTAACATAGCAACGACCACTTATATAACGGAAACACTATGCAAAATGGTACATTTCTAAAGCCTCCATTTATCTAGAGGGTGAACTAATTAAAATGGTCCCTATTTAAATCTCAGGCAGCAAAAAGAATTTTCCCTGCAGAGCAGTATTGGCCTATAAACCAAATCTGAGTGCATCAACCAGTCTTGTTTCTTTTATCATCATTTAAGGGGCCTGAATTATATTGGTCTAGCTAATAAATTGCTGAGTTTAAGAATACTATATAAATATTATTCTATGATAAATAATGAAAATGAGTAAGATACAAAAAGGACAGCTGGTAATAAAGATCAAACAAGAACAAAATAAAATTAATTAAAATGATTACACATTTGTTAAATTGCCAAGAAACACAATCTGAAAAGAACTTTACCAAAAAGTTAATATATTTTTAAAAACTTCTCTGATCAAAAACTTCTCTGATCAAATGTCACATATTTCCTGACCACTCAATACATAATAACAACCACTTAGGTAATGGAAACACTATGCAAAATGGTACATTTTCACTATAGTAATTATCATCATCCCCTGAATATTAAATATTTATATCACCTCCCCTAACAATGTAATTTTATTTTAATCTCTTTTATATCCCTTACACTGAACACAGACAAGTACTTATTGGTTGAAGAAATAAGTGAACTGTGTCTACAGAATATTTTTAAACGCTTTCAAATAATAATAGACTAGCGTTACCATGTTAAAGATCCAGATCTTCCAGTTATGCTGTGGGAATATTCAATTAAAAAATAAAAAGCTGTAAAATGATAATTAGGACATCCGACAAGAAATATCTTCAATTTGTTTAAAGTAGAAGTGAATGAGGATCACCCATATGCCGGTCATATACAAAGATTCCTTTACATATTTTCCGGCGTATAAGATGACTTTTGAAACGAAAAAAAGTCAACCAAAAATTGGGGGCAAAAGACCAAAATTGCACAAAAATTACCTGCAGATCTTGATGGCAAAGTAAGTCTTTTCTTTGAAGTGGGGGGTAGTCTTATACAGAGAATATAGGCCTAAACCTATGTGTTAACTGTAAAATTAGGGGGTCGTCTTATATGCCGGAAAATACAGGTACTCTAAGCCAGTGCTTCTCAAACTTGAGTGCCCAGAATCGCCTGCTGCTGATCCCAGGATCCTGCTTTGAAAGCCACCTACCTAATTCTCAAGCCAAGGAGAAACAATGACTAAGAACTGATACTATAAGTTAGCAATAGGATTGTACAGAAGGCATTAGTCATTGTTTCACACATACATTAGAATTACCTTCAAATTCTAAACTTCTATTTATATAAAAATGTATAATATGTTCTTCCCATGAAAAGATGAGGCCTCTGAAAAGTATCAAATAGGGGTGGAATCTGAATTTTCTTCCGTGTGTTTTAGGA